GATTCTGCAAGGGGTTCCCAAACTTTCGCATGCCACTGTGTATATATATATATATACACACACACACAGTGGCATGCGAAAGTTTGGGAACCCCTTGCAGAATCTGTGAAAATGTGTATAATTTGAACAAAATCCCCTTTTCATTTTAAATTATTGTTTAGTTTTTTTAAATGTCTTTTTAGTTTTAATAAATTATTTATTTTTTAATAATTTCAGTACTTTAACTTAAACTAAATGAAAATTAGAAATGTTGCCTTTAAAGCCAAAAAAAGCTAAAATTTTAATATTTTATTTCAGTTAATATGTTAACTTAAATGTTTTTAGTTTTTAATTTTTAGTTTTAGTTAATGATAGCATCTCTGTCAGCCAAACCCTTTGTGTTACTTGAAATAAAATAGAAAAAAAATGCAAACATTAATTTCAGCTAGTTGCCAAGGCAACATTTTTATTTAGTTTAAGTACTAAAATAACCAAAACTGAAATAAAAATGTATAAAAACTAAATAGACAAATAAAAATAAATAAGAGGACTAAAACTAATAAATAAATAAATCAAAATCAAAATGAAAACAGAAAATGCTGCAAAAACAAATAAAAACCATAATATTTAGGACTGACATCATCTTCATCTCCCTTCGAGATAGTGTGAAGTGATTTAAGAAAAATTAATCTAGATCAGTGTAGGTCAAACATGCAGGTTCATGTCTGTTTCTCTGTAGTTATGCAGGTATGATCTGTTTCGAAGAGACCGAGAGCTGAAAGGAGATGATCTGGTGATCTACAGGATGATGGAGCCGTACACCGGCCTCTACACGTGTGTGGTTTCATATCAGATGAACGGACGCACGCTCCAGTTCACACGCAACATTAACGTCATTGCTGTTGGTACGATTTTCTTGCCTCCTCTCATCTCATTTCTGTGGAAGCTTGTTTCTGCAACGGAAAAAAATCTAAAAAAGCCAATTGCAACTTTTTATCTCACAATTCACTTTTTTCTCAGAAGCGCAAGTTTAGATCTCGTGATTCCGTTTTTTTTTTTTTTTTTGCAATTCCGAATTCATATCGTGCAATTCTGAATTCATGTCTCACAGTTCTGAATTCATATATAACAATCCTGACAATTATATCTCACAATTCTGAGTTTATATCTCACAATATCACTTTCATTATCATTCTCGGAGATTAAACAGGCCAATTACATACTAAATAGGGAAATAGGAGTGGCAAAGTTAAACTACTCTGGAAAGCTAAAAAAAACAGCTTTCAAGCAATGACCCTACATCAGTGTGGAAAGGCCTGAAAGCCATCACGAGCTACAAGACCCCATCCCCCAGCACTGAGGCCAATCAACATCTGGCTGAAGACCTGAATGAGTTTTACTGCTTAAAAAGGCGGTTCATGCTCGAAAACCCTCCAATGTGGCTGAATTACAACAATTCTGCATAGATGAGTGGACCAAAATTCCTCCACAGCGTTGTAACAGACTCATTGCAAGTTATCGCAAACGCTTGATTGCAGTTGTTGCTGCTAAGGGTGGCCCAACCAGTTATTAGGTTTAGGGGGCAAACACTTTTTCACACAGGGCCATGTAGTTTTGGATTTTGTTTTCCCTTAATAATAAAAACCATTTAAAAACTGCATGTTGTGTTCACTTGTGTTATCTTTTACTAATATTTAAATTTGTTTGATGATCTGAAACATTAAAGTGTGACAAACATGCAAAAAAATAAGAAATCAGGAAGGGGGCCAACACTTTTTCACACCACTGTATGTACCAAGAGCTTCTTAAAAACCACAACAAATTCCTTGTGTGTTTGCGCACACTTGATGAATAAAGCTGATTCTGATTCTGACAATTTTGAGTTAATATCTCACAATTCTGAATTCATATCTCATAATCCCGAGTTTATATCTCACAATTCTGAATTCATGTCTCACAATTCTGAATTTATATCTCATAATCCTGAGTTTATATCTCACAATTCTGAATTCATACCTCACAATTCTGAATTCATATCTCACAATTCTGAATTCCTATCTCACTAAAGATTCTGAATTCCTATCTCACTATTCTTATTTCATATCGTAATTCTGAGCTTATATCTCACAATTATAAATTCATACCTCATAATTATGAATTCATATCTCATGGAAGATTCTGAATTCATATTTCACAATTCTTAATTAATATAATAATTCTGAGCTTATATCACAATTCTGAATTCGTATCTCACAATTCTGAATTCATATCATAATTATGAGCTTATATCTTGCAATTCTGAATTCATATCACAATTCTGAGTTCATATCTCACAATTCTGAATTCATATCTCGCAATTTTGAGTTTATAACTCGCAATTCTGAATTAATATCTCACAATTCTGAGTTTCTATCTCACAATTCTGAATTAATATCTCACAATTCTGAGTTCATATCTCACAATTCTGAATTCATGTCTCGCAATCCTGAGTTGATATCTCACAATTCAGAATTAATTCTCTCACAATTCTGAATTCATGTCTCGCAATTCTGAATTAATATCTCACAATTCTGAGTTTATATCTCGCAATTCTGAATTAATATCTCACAGTTCTGAGTTTATATCTCGCAATTCTGAATTCATGTCTCGCAATTCTGAATTCATATCTCAGTATTCTGAATTATTATCTCACTATTCTGAGTTTATATCTCAATTCTGAGTTCATATCTCACAATTCTTACTTTTTCTCTCAATTCTGCGTTTATATCTAGTAATACTGACTTTATATTGCAATTGACTTCATCACAATTCTGACTTTTTCTCACATATCTCACAATTTGGAGAATTCTTTGCAGAATTGTGAGATTAAATTAGTTTTATTTTAGTTTTTTTTTTATTTGTGGCAGAATTAATCCATTCATTTGACCTTGTCATAAGGTTTTCAAACATCTTTCTCCTGTAGTTCCTGATGTCGGCAGTAAAGTTCCCATCATCCTGAATCCCGCGAGCGATCAGATCTACACGGTGACTCTAGGTGAGCATCGTCATCTTTTTTAGCTGTTTTTGCCGTGTTTTCTTCAGTATGCTTCAGTGAACGTCTCCGCATTGCAGGAGATACAGTGACACTGTCCTGTCGTGTGCATCTGCCTCACCTGTATGAGGAAAAGCAGCACATCTGGTGGACCATCGATAACAAAACCGTGGAGCAACTCGCCGACCCACGATTCAGCGCACTCGAGGACACGTACGACACGTTTGTGTTTTTCTCACTTCTTTGATCTGTCTCTATCTCTGTTTTACTGACTCGTGTGTGTGCGTGTGTGTGTGTGTAGGCTTGTGTCATATGATTACGGTGACGAGTTGAAAGAACGAGTCCTGAATGTGATGGATTTTTCAGCTGACGACCTGCAGAGGGAGTTTAACTGCTCCGCCAGAAACAGCCGTGGGTTCAACACCAGCCGAGCCGTACTGAAGACCGAACGTCAAAAAATAAATAAATAAACAAAAAATAAGCATTAAACACTTATTATTTGTACTATCTAAATAAGGATCAGTCACTTTGTTCAAAGGAAAAATTGACAATTATGCACATAATGACATTTGAACTCATAGCCACAAAATCGTATTATAAATAATAATAAAAAACTAACCGTTACATCCAAGCAGAAAACACAACAGTGCATTTCTGTTCAGTGAAGTATAAAATTGCCTTTATTACAATCACATCACCTGCTTGCCTGTAAGCCTACTTAGTATATCCTATTTTTAATCAACTGTATACTGAATTTGTTTTTGTGTGAGTGTGTGTCTTCCTTCATTAGCCTTCATTGGCATGAACGGCTCGATTAGTTCCTGTATCAAATAAAGGCCCGCATTCTGAAATACGAAATGTGCTGTGATTGGTTAGCTGGGCCAGTGTGTGTTGTGATTTGTTAGCTGGGCCAGTGTGTGCTGTGATTGGTTAGCTGGGCCAGTGTGTGCTGTGATTGGTTAGCTGGGCCAGTGTG